ATGGGCTAAGTAGGATAGAGGTAAAGACTGATGTATGCACAACCCTGGAACAACAGGGCTATGGGATACAGGGATTGATACATGGTTGGAATGGACAAAAGGGGGAAATAATGTTAAGATGCTTGGCTGTCTTTTGAATCTTGGTTTCCCTTGCATATCATTATAAAATAGACACTGGAGGAGACAAAGTCAGAAATATCACCATAGAAAGCTTTTAAGTCTGTCTTCTGCCTATAACTGATTGGAATACCTAAAATGGGGCTACCTGCCCAGTGAAGGCTTTCTGCAGAGCCTCTGCAATACATAAGATTATAGGTGGAATCCTGAACAGCATCCAGAATCTTCAGAGGTGGGCAATTTCCACTTCAAAGGACAGGCAGACCAGCCTGGAGCAGGTAGAAGAACAGAAGATACTTCTTGAAAGAAAGACTGACAGGTAAAATACAAAACAATATAAACAGACTGACTGAGTACTATAAGAACAAGTGAGTTGCTAGCCCAGGAGACATCAAGGCAAGTGGTCAGGTCCTCTCAGAGCAAACCCTCTTCCAAGACTAAGATTCAATGGGAATATACGCTCTGATTGGTGACTACGCTCGTCACCGTTAAGGGGAAGTGAGGGAAAAACAGCAATGAAGCTGCAAGCTAAGCCCTATAATATTCAGTAGACTTCTGTGAACCTGGGTGGAGACCTGGTTGGTCAGCAGTGTGGCAAGACCTGGGGACTCTTGGGCCCAGAGTCAGTGACATAGCCACAGAAGACTAGAGTGGTGAGTGAAGCGTCCAGCTGATAAGAGAGGGCATATCCACAAGAACACCCAAACTTGCAGATAATACCCACTTGACCTGGCTTCAATGACTGGATGATCAAGATCTCAACTAGAAGAAGAAAAGGAAAAACAGAGAGTAATCTGATACAATTTGATGAACTTGACCTACACCTACAGATGTAGTAACTCAAAAGAGGGAACAAGTCTTTACATCGAGGATCAATCCTCCATATACAGAGAAGACAGGGATGGGCAACTTGGACACTGGCTACCCGAAATGGGGGGGCTACAAAGGCAAGAAGTGACTGGCTTACAAGCTTTCAAGAGGGAGCCTAGATCCAGAGGGCGTGGAGCAAGGTAGAATTTCCACTTAGTAGTATCCAATCTGTCTAGGTGGGGCTGATGAAATGTGGATAGGTCTCTTGTGATACAATAATGAATAACTGTTATCAGGACTACTTGTGAAGGTTGCAAATGTAAAGGTAGACGTTTTGTAGCAAGGAGGGGAGTGAATAACTTTGCAGTCTAGGAGCGAAGAGCAGGACCCTACCCAGAGAAGCAGTGATGCCAGAGGTGGAGGCAGAGGCGATGACGTGGAGAGATGGCACAATTAAGGACTTTAGACCCAGAGAGGGAGAGGGGCTGTGTGCTGATGACCAGGGGGTGCGGGGTGGGGCAGGCTTGCAGAGTATACCCTTTGGTTGGTTGATGCAGGGAGGGGATTGTAACCATGGCAACGAAAGATACGCTATAGAATAGGATGAATGTAAAACTAATGTTTTCCCATGTAAACTACAATATAATTCACAAGAAAACGTTAAAAAAAAAAAAAAAAAGATAATGGAAATTTCCCCATGAAGTCCTTTCTGGTATATACACACACAAACACGCCCAAGGACTGACTCCACATGTGGAAACTTACCCTCCAGAATTGTCCGAGCACGCGTGCAGGGTACACTCACTGGTGTGTGTGTGTGATGGCTGGGCACATTGTAGTTGTCATCAGGAAGGCTACGAATAGCTGAAGAATATGTGGGGAACCTCTACACAGACAGTACGGAAGAAGAGACTTTGAGGAAATCCGAACTGTTAAGGGTGAGAAGCAAGGGCAGTGGCTCCAAAGGTGCCAATACTGGGCATGGGCGTGGACACATGGCAGCAGGTGGCAGAGACATGGGAGGACATGCAGGGAGAGACAGGAGTGGGGAAGAGTGGCAGGTGACTCTGCAGTAAATATGTGAACAATAGGATGCATGCAGGGACGAGGTCCAATGCAAGGAGGGAAATTGGTCAGATATGTACAGAGAATAAACTATTCAATACAAGCTGTCACTGTTGGGTGAGGGCACCCTGTACTGAATGGAGATGGGAGTGCTGAGGTCAAGCTGTGTCTGGAACCCTTGGTGCCTTCTCAGGTCAATTCCTGCCAGGCAGGCGCAGGACAGCAGCTCCAGGGCCTTTCAGGATGGTGGTGTGCAGGTGGACCCCTTGGACCAGGCAGGGAGCCTGGCCCTCATGGGCAGAGTCTGCCAGTTCTTTAACCTTCTCCCTTCCCCAGCTGGAGGTGGCTCTGCTCTGCCCTGCCCCTAGGGCCTGGAAGAGGGATCAAAACTGACCGAACTACATTGAAGGGGACTGGTGGCAAAAGTCCCTCACACTAGCCTTTTGTTTTCAGCCCAGGCCTTGGTAGACCCCCAGCAGGATGAGTGTGACAGACCATTCCCAGGTGGGGAGCACTGATAGGAATAGGGATGCTCTCTCTGGGGTCAAATCCTGCAGCTGCTCTGACCCCAAATCTTATCACTCCCAAGGAAACCTGACAACGTGCCACCTCAGATCCTTTTGCTGACTGTGCAGAGACGAGAGCAAGTATGTAGTGCACCAACGTTTATTTACAAAAAACCCAAGTTACATTATGATACAGGCTTTTTACACACAGTAGTTTAAAAGAAATGGCTAGTTTATGCATTTTTACTACTGGTAGGTAAAGAAAAACCTTTAATAAACTACATATTCATTTTTCCGCTATTTTCATACAAAGTGACAGGACATGCACTTTGACTTCATTGCAATGTGCAAACACTACACGCCCCCTCTCCGGTTTTAAGGCAAGTGAAGTGGACTGTCATGACCCAGAGGGGAAAGGCATGGGCTCGTGCCATTTCTGAAACCAGGACCGTTCTGGGGTTTCCTGTCACTGTGCGTGCCATGCCACTGGCAGGTTTGTCAGACAGTGCCCTGGTCCCTGTCAGTAGCACACCTTCCTGGCCCCACTCCAGCACGAGGGCCAAGGAGGAAGACCAGGACAGGGTGGTCAGCTTGGGGGGGGTGGGGAGGCGGCGGGCAGAAGCAGCTCCCTCACAGCCAAGTGTGGCTGGCACTGTGAGCCCCGCTTCACAAAGGACCAGTACTTGCTTGTTCAAATATGGGGAATCCGCTGAAGAGGCCGGGTCCCCGGCTGAGCCCCTCTACAATGGCAGAGCAATGTTAGGGCTGTGGCTGTTGTCCTGCAGCAGGTCCAGAACCAGCTAGTTCCCTCATTCTTGCCCTGGACCCACACACCATGTGGCAGAACCCAGGACCCTAGCTAAGGTGGCTCAAGAGATCCCCTGTAGGCTCTGGGGGAACTATCACTGGTGGGTAGGGTGGGACATACTTGAGGCTAGCTACCCCACCTGGCTAGGGGTCAGTGGCTGCCCACCACTTCCAGATCCTTTCTTAGGGAAGCAGCAGGAACAAGCTTTCTAAGGTACTTCACAAAGTTGTGACAGGACCCCAAGGCACGCTGTGGCACCCCCACAGATGGCAGCGTGTCAGAAGGCACTGGTTACTAGACTGGTACCCAAGCAGGGAGTGGGGTGTGGCTGACAGATGGGGAACGGCCTGAGAAGCCTTGTCAATGCCCTAAACCCTCACTCATGCCTGGTGCCAGCCTTTCCATCTTGTCCCCTTACCCTAGCCCCAATGGCCACCTGTCCCTATCCCACATCCTGGGAAAAGGCAGAAAGAACAGGGGTCTTAGGAGGCATTGTTTTCTATTTTAATCCTTGTAACACATGGAAGAAGAAGTTGTTGGGCAGCAAGTGCACATGGCAGGTGGGCCTTGGGGTACAGGAATCCCAGGAGCCACATGGTACCCACCTGCAGGCAAGCCTTGCGGATGGTGTCGGAACTGTGCTAAGGTTTCCAAATTGTGCATCTCTCAACCCCTTGGGGCACTTGGCTCACCCTTCCTGAGGTCTGGGTATGCGTGCACACATCACACAGTGAGGACCGACACTTGCTGGGATGTGACAAGCTTGTTCACAGTTGAGCAGTCAGAAGCATTGAGCCTCTGCTCTGCAAGGGTGCTCGGGGATAGGCCCCCCATGTTGCTCAAAAGGCCCAGCTGACAGGACACGACCAAGGGGAATGGAAGGTGGCAGTAATCCCTGCCCATGGCTCCACAGCTCAGATTCCTGCCTACATTATCTATCACTGAGAGGACATAAGAAGGAAGGACCCCAGGTGAGCCAGTCTGGCCTTGCCAGCAGGACACCTCTTTGAAGACACTCCCTCCCACCCTAACCACAAGGGAAACACTGCTCACTGTGCAGCTGTGGTCAGATCTGATGGCCAGAAGAGTAGCGAGAAGTCTCCCTGGGGCCTGGGTACCAGAGCAGTGTCCTGAGGCGATGCAGCTGATAGTCACATGTAGGGAGGGCAGGAAGGACCCACTGAGCCCATGGCTGCAATGGGCAACCCTCAAGGAAGGAACACGAGAGGGGCAGCTGGCAAGACCTGCCTCTCCTGGGTCCACACTGTCCTAATTTTTGGAGCAGTGTGGGCTGGAAAGGCAAGTCCTCCCTGTTGTCTGCCAGGGGCCAGGGAATCCATGTCTCTCCACAGGTGACTTGAGGGACATGGTCGGGAGGGTGGCAGGCCTCTTGAGGAGAAGTGTCTGGTGCTGGATGCCCTGGAGACCAGACTAAGCCTGTAACAGATGCCCAGAGCCCCCAGCCTGCCCTACTTCAGTTCTAGAAGGCAGAAGCCCTTCAAGAAGAGGCAGGAGAAAGCCCCTCCTCCGAGAACCAGAGCTAACCCCACCACACAGAAAGCGTCAGAGGAGCCCTTAGTGCAGGCAGGTTCAAGGAAGGTGAAATGTCTCCTCAAAACGCCCAGCCTCCACAGACCTATGAGGGCAGCTCAGGCTGGAGACTTAGTCCTCGGGGGGGGGCTGCCCACGGAAGAGGGGACATCAGAACCGGTGCCTCGGCTGAGGACCAAAGTGCATGGGCAGGTTGTGCTCCAGGGGAACGTTGATGGGAGCAAAGTCGTAATTGACCCGCATGTTGGGCAGAGGGGGTACATAAGGTGCCGGAATGGGGCCCATGTTGAGGGGGAAGTTATTGAACATGGGTCGCACTGGTGGCAAGGGGAAGGGGGGGTGCACAAAGGCATAGGGAGGGATCTGTGGCTGGTGCAGGTTCTGTGGGACAGGCCTGGGCAGGACTTCGATTCTCTGGACTTTTTCCGGAGGCTTCTCTAAGGGGGGCCCAATGCGTTTGAAGGTGTTCTCTGAAAGGATAGAAGATGATTCAGTTCAGAAAGACATGCTAACACCTACTTGATTTGGAACCGGGGCTGTCTGTCCTGACCATACTTCTCTGGGGGGGTACTAACAAGTTAGTGCAGGGCAGATGTACCTGAAGTAGTGCACAGAGCCCAGGGACCCATTGACTTCAGCATTACTCTTATTAACCCTGAGCACACACCAACATGATGCAAACAAATGCACACACCATGCACAGCTCCACAATGCACACACGTCCCCTCACATACATGTACACCCCGCACACACCAGTCACCACTAGAAACCAAGCACAGCAAGCACTGAATTCCAGGGCAGTCAGCCACCCTGGAAGATCCCACACTATCGCTCAGAAGAGGGAGGGCGTATGTGGGAAGTCTGCTTTGAGAATGAGAGGGCCTTACAAAGGCCAACCTGAAGAGGAGTGGGCCAGGTTCCTCTTCTAGTCCTCCCTCATTTCAGTCCACCCAGACCTCCCTGCTGTCATGTCACTATGTGGACTCTCCCTAGGGACCACCTAAGGGGTAAGCACTCTCAGGCTGGATCAAGTGCTGAAATCTCCAAGGAGGGTCAGCAGATAGAACCTAAGGGGTTCCTTGATCTCCCAGAATCCATGCTGTGGCTTTTGTGGGCCCCCAACAAGGGATGTTGTTGTTGGGGGCCAGCACAGGGATGCTGGGCCAGGCCTGGTGCTGGGGCCAAACTTGCCTCCATTCTTTCTCTTCTGTTCCTCCTCAGCTTCCTTCTGGATTTCCTCAATGAGTTTCTCATCATCTTCCTGAAAGACAAGCCGTGAGATGAATGAGCTACCAACATGGTGACTGCAGTGTGCGTGCCACTGGTGGGGACAGCGGCAAAGCTGGCTCAGCCAGAAATCTTTGCTGATTAGGGCTCAAGCCCACACATTGCCACACCTACTCCGTCACCAGGTGGGTGGTGTGCCCAGAAAAATATGGGCAGTGGAGTCTATAAGCAGGCAGCCAGCAGGACTGTTGGTAAGCAGAAGGCAGGCTTGAAGAGAGGTGCATCTGGAAGTTTCTGGTCCTGAGTCTGTAAACTGAGCACAGCAGTCCTTTGTGCAGAGCCTGGTGAGTCTCATCAACTCGGAGTTAAGCTGGACAGAGGTCCTCTCAGTACTGCCAGCCCGGGCTAGCCTTTAGCTCCTAGACCATCGTGGGCAGTAAAGCGAGTGAGCAGTGGCCTGCCAGGTTAAGAACAATCCCACCCCAGACTGCACCGCTCCTTCCCAGATGCAACTCAACAAACCTGGAACTGGGAATTTCATTCAACACAGGTGTCCTGAGTGTCAACTGGGCTAGACACTGTCCTATATTTATAGATTAAACTCTCGAGCATACACACGGAATTAACACACATTTACATACTAAATCACTGTTTGATAGATAAGAAAATGTTAGAGCAGAGAGGCCCTAGAAATCCTAGTCAACTCACTCTGGTTCTCCAGGTCTCTGACAGCCAACAATGGGTTTGAGCTGCATGACCTCAAAGTCGGCTTCCCAATGCTGATGTTGGGAAATTCTTGTCACATACCCAAGTCTTTCTCAGCAAAAGGAGCCTCATCTGGTCAGGGGCTCTGAGCAAGTCTAGATGGAGAGGAAAGCTATGAATAGAGAGGCACAGGTAAGATCCCATCACGCATTTCAGAAACTAGTGAACACCTAGCTCACCAGAAAATCACGAATCTGGGAGCTCCGATGGCATCTTGTCCACCACCTTCCAGGTACTGAAGAAAAATCGCTTCCCAAAGCTCCAAGATGTGGCCATTAGGCCTATTTGTGAATACTCTAAAGTAGGGAATGGTCATCCTACAAAAATTGGTCACTAAGGAAATCAACAGAGAAGGCTCCAGTAATTCAATCAAGTTTGGTGGACACAGCTTGGAAGGACTCCAATGAGCTCAGGTTAGATTTTAATTGCCTAGACGACAAGCTGAGACGCTTCTGGCTAAGATCAAGAATACACTGATGACTAACAGAGGAAAACTGCCCCAATGGGGTTTCTTTAAGGGAGCAGAGTGCTAGGTCTTTCCTCCTGTGAAGCTGTTCAGTGGTTTTAAACTGCTGACCTTTCAGTTAGCAGCTGAGCACTTAACCACTGTGCCATCAGGGCTCCTTAAGGATAGATTGTTGTTAGTCGTTGTTAAGTGCTGTCGAGTTGGTTCTGACTCATGGCGAACTTGTTGTATAGGTTTCTGAGGAGCAGCTGGTAGGTTTGAACTGTTAACCTTGTGGTTAGCAGTCCAGTGCTTATCCTACCGTGCCACACCAGCATTCCTAAGGGGTAGATTAGATTCTGGAAAACCTTTCCATTTTGGTACCAGTTGGCAGGTCTGGAGAATAAGTAAAACAGGAGAGTGAGCAAGAGCCTGGGGGAGCAGGTGGAGTGGTGGTCCTAATGTCTCGGTTTAGTGCCCCCAGTATGTTCCTGGCCTTGTGAAGTCCCTGTGCCTCAGTCTGTACAAGGCAGTGTTGTAAGGATGGAATGATCCAAGGCAGAGAAAGTGAATTCTCATTACTTAGGAGCAGGAAAGCTGTGGAAAATGGCAGGAATTAAGATTCTGAAAGAAGAGAGATTTCAAGTAAAAGTGACAGAGACTGGGAGAGACCTCAATGCTTTTTAAGTGGCTCCTTCATGATAGAGCAAGACAGGTTTCTCAGTTCTGGTCATTTATGAATAACAACACTTTGTCTACATTGATCAGCATCAGCATCACAACTGTTCCCCCTACCATCACCACCTACATGAGGCATGGATTGCTTACATACGGCCTTTCTAGCCATGGTTTTGTAACTGCTACCAAATGATTGAGTGGGACCATGCAAATGAGGTGCTTGTAGCCCACCAAGGCATGGCACCCTGTGGGGGTGGGACCATGTAAACAAGGTGTATGGAACCTTAATGAGAGGATTGGTTAGTTTTGCTGTCCCACTAGGCTTGAATGAAGCACCACAGAAACAGACTAGGGGGATCTCACTACTACTAAGAAGAGCCAAGGATGGAGTGCATCCTTTGACCCCAGAGTTCCTACGCAGAGCAGTAATATGAGACTGCAAAAAGCCGTGGCAGAGAACCAGTGGTGGTAACAGAAAGAAGCAGGACAGTGCCCTACACGGTACAGTGGGCTTCTTGCCCACAGAATAAGAGCAGAGTGGTTTCCAACTGAGGCTTACTGACTGAATGGGTGCTAGCTAGTCTAACAACTGCCTGAGCAGAGAAGAAGTGAAGCTGAGGGTAAGAGAGGTGCTTGCCTGTGGGTATGGCTGAGAAGCTCTCCTGATGGAAGAACTGTATCTGGAATCTTTCCTCATCTAGAATTGTAAATCGATTACTTCCCTAATAGATTACATCGCCTGTGGGTTCCAGGTGGCCATTGTAAGGAATTGTCGAAGCCAGCAGAATGCCTTAAAAGAAGCAGCTGGTGTCAGTATTGGTGAAAGGGTTGGAAGTTGAAGGAATATCCGACCTTTACCTCATAAGGATCAGCTTTAGGCCAATGTTGATGGTGAAGTTAGAGGAGGCCAGATGATAACTATCATTCCCCAAATTTCCACATGGCAACCTGGAGAGCATTGGTCACAGCTAACTGAGGTGGGGACCCCAGTGTCACTTGGATCATCTTCCTAAAGAAAAGTCTACAGAAGACAGCAGCAGCAGGTGCTCTGGCTCCTGCCCTGTGCTCACTTGATTTAAAATGTTGGGTTGCTTCTTTCAGCCCATGCATGAGTCCTGCATATCCCTGTGCAGAGGCACCATACTGGACATGCAGGGAAGACCACGGTAGGACAAGCCCCTAGTGTGTGGAGCTGGCACTGTTGGGCTGTGATCACAATTGTGCCCGACATTCCTTGGAAGCAGACAATCTGACTGTGTTAAAGGCTCGCCCACTCCTCCCTCAGACTCTCTTGTGATATTCCTAACAGAACAAGAGCAGCTCCTTGCAGTGGGAGCTCCCAGGCCTCTGGCTTTGTGGAGGGTGGGTCCACTCAGCGCACTGCCTCATGGTCAACAATGCCACCTGTCTTGTAGTATGTTTAAATGTTCTTGATACAAGTTTGGCTCAGAATAAATCCAACCTTCCCTAGGGTGGTGGCAGAGGGCCAAAACCAGGGGTTCCTGTCTGCCAGCAGTCACATTAACTCATGGCAGATACCCAGACTGAACTCGATTCCTTCCTGTGAGAGCAGGGGGTGGCTTGGGGTCCTGAGGAGACAAAGCCACACTCTGCCTTGTTGAGTGTACTCCAGGGTTACATGTTCTAAAATCTACTCTTTTCCTGGGAGGCAGTGTCTTGGGATTCTAAGTGTTGCCACACAACGAGGAATGATTTTTACAAGGTATCACAAGGCGAGTCTCAGTTATACCTATACTTCGGGTGAGCTGGCTCCGATGTCCACTCTCTCCAATAGGCAAGAGTCACAGGACACTATATTTAGTCATTTGAACCAAAGGAATCTTTTGCTTGTCTAAGAGATTACATTTTCAGCCATCAGTTTAACTCTAAGGGGAAGATGCCTTACTTCACTTGGGGTGGAAGTTACTTTCACATTTGTTGTCCTTAAGCATCTTAACTTCCTCAAATCAAGAGCAAAGAGTGTCAAATGGGAACCTAATTTGCTGTGTAGACTTTCACCGAAAACACATTATTTAAAAAAACAAAAAAAAAGTTAAGGCGGGTCTTGGGTTTGATTTTGAGACTGATTAGGCAGACTGGTCTCTTCTCAGAATGCTGGTGGGGTTTCGGCCTGGGTGACATATGGGACTGTGGGGTCCTTTGTAGAAGAGGTTCCATGGGACATATTCTAGGCATATCCTGAGTGAGCCCCACAAAACTCAAGGTGAATAAAGAACTTGCCATTTGGGGTAGAAGAGAGTAGCTGAAATACTGTCCTCCACTTTAAGCTCACGCCATGTTCCAGGGTGGAGCAAGGGGCCACGGAACTCAGGTGCTGCCCACAGCTAGGTATGCCGAATCCCACTAGTTTCTGACAGAGAGGACACAGGGCAATGCGATGCGAAGTCTACAGTCCTGGGGTTTTCTAAGCCAGACGGAACTAGGAGCCTATTCATTTGTAAAACAGGTTTGCTGTGGGAGGTTCTCCTCTAGGGCCAAGTTGAGTACCTTCTGAGGACAGCAGTGATAAAGCTGCTGGTCGACACAGATCTACACCACATTTCCTTCTACGCCTGGCCCTGCCCCATCATATATTTGTTTCATCTTCCTAACAAGCTTTAGTAGTTGGGTGCTGCTAATTCACCCCCACACCACAAAAGAAGCTGAGGCCCAGTGAGGCTCGAACTCCAGCGGTCTCATCTCCAAGCCTGTGTACTTTACTACTCGAGCTGGCAACCACAGAAACCAGCCAGCTGTGAGGGCGAGCTTCAGAGAACTGTTTGCCTGCCCTGTGCACAATGTCACAGGGGACTGTTTTCAGTGCCTGTCTTGTTCTAAAAAGAGTGCATCCTACCCTCTTTGAAATATAATAGGGCTCCTTCTCTCTGGGATGGGCAGAACATGATTCTTCCGAAGCCCTATTTTCACCACTAAATAAAAGACAAGGAGCAAGGCAGGCAGAACACCACCCCTGAGGAAGCAGCATCATGCCAGTCAAGTCCTGGAAATGTTTAGGCTATCATTCTAATTTCCTTGGGCTCAGTTCTCCCAAGAAATACAGGTGCCATCCTTTACAGGGTCCACCCACAGTGGGAGTAGGGAACTTGAGGGGTCCCACACAGCTCACTGTAGTTTCCCACTATGGT